GTATTCAATATCTGGTGTCAGCTATTACCATGAAAGCTCTGTTTACAAGGTGTAGTCATTTATGAAGTTTGCACAATTATGAATTGATGCATTTTATTAGGGGAGAATAATGAAAATATATCGACGGACAAATTTTGAAAACCAATCCATTTCTAAACTTATTCATCAAAAACGACCTATTTGAAACTTATTTGTCAAAAGCGACCCGGTTTCAGCCAACTGGCTTGGATCGTTTTTAGTGAAAAAAAATATCAAACATCACAAGAGTTTAAGTCCCGTAAAGTTTTTACATAACAAAACTTTACGGGATTTGAAGTCCTGTGAAGTTTAGTATTTTTCCGCTAAAAACGACATAGTTTCAGCCAGTTGGTTGAAACTGTGTAGTTTTTGGCGAATAAGTTTCAAAAAGATCGTTTTTACAGGGTTGCTTTTCAAAATTTGTCCAATATTGACTAGGACTGAACATATATTGTATTAAAGATTGTGGCGCGCGGGCAAAACTACTGACTTTTAGAGATATTTGCATTAATTGAAGACAAATCAATCTCTTATAACGTTTGTTGTTTAAGAATAGTTTAACAGGTCTTGTAAAATAAATTTGTTATTTTAAAAAAAAATAAGATTGCTGATGATTTAGTGCTTTTTAATTTAGAGGTTTACCTACTATTTTAAATAGAATTCTATTTATCATGCACAATGTACGAGTCCTGAGTTTCTGGATAGAAAAATTAAGAATGCAGCGGTTTAGTGAAATTCTTTAAAAAAAATAAACAAAATACTCTTGACTATAAAGAAAGATATTAGTCTTGTTAGTTTTATGGGTAAAATAGATCATCTACAATTTATTGAGTGTCCTCTGTTTAAGCCCTCCACTGATTAAGGAAGTTAGGCATGAGGTAATGCAGGTGATTAAAGATCAACCTTAATTAATTTTTTTTAATAAGATAGAAACTCCTTGATGAAGACATTGCTTTCCTCATATTTAAAGTTATAATTATTATAATTATTCCCCACTGTCCCCTAATAAAAAATAAAATTTCGTATTACAGGTGGGAAAAGGCTTGATAAGGACCCATGAGATGTGATGGCGTGCCAACATGTGGTGCTCGGTGAAGGTTTCGGTCCTTTCGTCAGATAAAAACCTGCAAATGGAACAACTAGGATGGAGGGTCATTTAGGGACCCACCTATTTGTCTTTTTAAGAGCTCTTTGGTTGGTTTCCTAAAAATCAAGAATAAGAAATGGGAGCATGAAAATCTTTCATTTCCTATTTTTAACCATTTCCATCCCTAAAACTTACTCCAACATTCAATAAAATATTATTTTATCATCCAACTCATCTAATAAAATATTATTTTATCATCCAACTCATCCAATAAAATATTATTTTTATCATCCAATATCTAATAAAATATTATTTTTATCATCACATCATCCAACTCATCTCATCTCATCCCGTCTCATATTTAAAAATCAATCACATCATCCAATAATATGGTGACAACTCATCTCATCTCCTTAAACTTTCATCTCCACCCATTTCTTCCAAAAAAACAAAGAAATTAATTTCCTTAAGTGTTGGTCACATCATCTAATAATATAATGACAACTCATATCATCTCATCTATTTTCTTATTTTTAAGAATAAGCCAAACACAAGAAAAGAACCTATTATAGGAAATAGGTTTCTTATAATATATTTCCTTATTTTTTTAGCCAACCAAACAACATCAAAACAAGTTTTCTTAAAAAATCACTCACATCATCGCCAACCAAACAACATCAAAACAAGTTTTCTTAAAAAATCACTCACATCATCCAATAATATGACGACAACTCATCTCATCCAAAACAAGTTTTCTTAAAAAATCACTCACATCATCCAATAATATGACGACAACTCATCTCATCCCATCTCATATTCTTTAATTTTCTTCTTTTTTTCCAACCAAACAACCTCAAAATATAATTTCTAAGAAATAGATTTCCTATTCTTTGATTTCCCTCTTTTTTTAGACAAACAAATAGCCCCTTAGGGGTTGTTTGTTTGCTAAAAAAAGAGAAAACCCCCGTCACGTCAGATTTTAAGAAATCCTCTTTGTCATCTAGGATTTTGTTTTCAACCGATTTTTAAATCACATGTTTATTTTGTTTTGTGATTTAAAAAAATGAGAGTGTCACGTAGAATGTCACATCAGATTTTCGAGAAAAGTATTTTCACACCAAAAACTTCTGAAAACACTTGGAAATATCACTTCAATGATTTTTAATTACTAAAAGCACTGTTAAAACAGTGCCTGTGAATAAAACAAATTATTTAATTGCTGAAAATATTGTTACTATTACGGCTGATTTCCATTTCCTTTTTTTAATATTCAAACAAACACAAGAAATAGAAATCGAAATACTGTTACTATTGCAGCTGGATTTGTTTTTTATGTGACGTGGCGATGACGTGACGGTGATTTCATTGCGAAACAAACAAAAATAAAAGAAATGCGAGAAATGTTTTGAAATCTCTTGAAATGAGTTGAAATGTGAGTTTTTCATTTCTTTTCCATTTCCGGTTTTTTTTGGGAAAACAACCAAACATCATTTTCGGTTGTAGTTTGATAACATGCAATTTGTTTGTACTCACATCAAAATCGTGAAGAGTTTAATGACTTAATGATCTCTCTTGATGGGTGTTTTTCAAAATTAAATCAAAGTTTGATCAAGTTATTGTGTATTATCTTAAGTGAGTCTTATAATGATTAAAGTAAATAGAACAAAAGTACCCAATATATTTTTTTTATTACAAATGATTATATGTCTTTTATTTTTTATTTTTTTGGTTATTTAGTTATCTTTTTAAAGAAGCGTATAATCTTTACCATGAGAAGAGGAAAAAAAAACTACATTTCGAAAAACTCACAGAAAATAATGACTAGCAGAGAAAAATAAAGGATCCTTTTCTATTATATTTCTCAAAGAACAAAAACTAGGCAGAAAGATTGGAAGAAAAGTTTTATGCATAATTAAACAAAGCGGCCAATACCTCAATTAATGAATTTACTAGGCAGACAAATTTTCGAAAACAACCTCTTTTCCCATTTAATCCCAAAAAAAACCATTTTCATAATATTTTCAAAAACCGACCTAGTGTTAGCTTTGGCTTTGAAACCATGTCGGTTTTTGTGAAAAAACTTCTGAAACTTAATGGGAGTTTCACGGGAGTTGAACTTCCGTAAAGTTTCGGAAGTTTTTTCACAAAAACCGACCTGGTTTCAACCGACCTGGTTTCAGCCGCTGAAACGAGATCAGTTTTTAAAAATATTATGAAAAAAGGTTTGTTTTAGGATTAAATGTCCTTATAAGACGGTTTTGAAAATTTGTCCTTTACTAGACAGTTACATGTAATAAGCATCAAAAAAATTACCACCCACATCAATGTTCTCAGTTACCACCACCATCGTCTTGCGCATTGAAGGATGGGAATATCTATTCATTTTTATTGTTGGTTTGGTGTTTTTGTTGATAGTGCAAAAAAGCAAATTGAACATTTGAACTAACTATCCCTTTCTCTCCTATCTTAGCCATAAAAAAAAGCTCCTTTTTTGCTCAAAAGCTTATAATAAACAAAGGAAGTGAGAGAGAGAGAGAGAGAGAGAGAGAGAGAGGAGGTGATGGAGAGGAGAGTGATACTGGTCTGCGCTGCTGTGGGCTTTCTCGGGCTTCTCTCTGCTGTACTGGGTTTTGCTGCAGAGGCCACAAGGATCAAGGTGAGCGCAAAAAGATCCTTTCTTTTTCAATTTTTTTTTACCCTCTGATTGCAGGGTTTAATAGTAACTCTGTAGTTCCTGGGATATGGTTTTTTTTTTCAGATAATCAGATGTTTGGGTTGTTGGAAAAGAACCATCATTTAAATATAAAAAAAAAAGAAAATTTCTTTTGTTCACTCACATTCTAGTTTGTTCTACGATTTTCGACTAGTTTGATAAATTTGGGATATGGATCTGATTTATTTTCTTAGGAGCCCTGTTAATTGGGTCAAATTATTTTGACCTGTTCGTCTGTTTTGAGGAGTGATTTGCCATCTTATGGACATTTTTAAGCGTGGCTTGTTTAGTTTGTTTCTTTAGGATTGAGGCTTATTTTAGTGTGGCTGGCAATTTTGCTGGACTTAAAGTTGTTTAGTTCTTTGGGGAAACTTTTGATGGAGGGCGTTCGTCATAAAATGGGGTCTCCCCAGGGTCATCCTGTTTGCAATAAATATTACATGGAGATCTGATGATATTTTATAATATGCGTTACATCTTTGGCCAGTAATTTCTTGGATTATGCTGTCTTTGTCGGTTATCATCGCCATTGTTTGGAAAAATTGGTTCATAGGAGGTTTAAGAGAACTAGAGATGGAGAACTGGAACAGCAGTTGTGTCTGTAATTGGTGCTTCTTGTAAGGAGGCATCCTCGTGCATTTCGCGAAAAAAATTGAGAATGATTTCATATAGCTCTGTATTTGGTTGCTGTTGCTTTGATGCTAGTTTCATAAGACTCCGTCCGAAGGGGATTTGTAAAAAAAAAAGACTTCATTTCATCTTGCAAGTTTGACTATATCACTTTTTCACAAAATCACTGTGTTTTCTGAAACTTCCGATGGTAAGTTAGCAAGTTTGACAATATTACTTGTCGCGAAAGCTCTTTGTGTCGTCTGAGCCTTTAGGCTTATGGTATATTGTTTTTCATTATGTATCTCAGGCATCTGAAGTTCAGACACCAAGACCGGGTGAGTGCGCATATCCAAAAACTCCAGCTTTGGGCCTTGGACTAGGGGCAACGGTAGCTCTTATGATTGCTCAGGCAATCATCAACACGGTAGCTGGGTGCATTTGTTGCAAGAGGAATTCACAACCCTCAGACACCAACTGGTCTGTTGCTTTGATTTCCTTCATTGCATCATGGTGAGCTTCTGAACTGTGACGTTGTTTTGATTGATAGAGATACCTTAAGCCTCCATACACGATTCCCTGTTAAGTTTAGTACCATGAGTATCAAGATATTTGATTGAAGGCCTAGCAAGACTGAACCTTACATAATTGTGGATAGACCTTGTATTATCGCCAACTTGCAAATAGGCCCCCTATTATTCTGTTGTTGCGGATAGATCTCCTGTTCTTCGATTATTCTGTTAGTTTTCCCTGCTAAATTAGTTATATGTGATCATGATTATGCAAGTTTATAGTAAGTAAATCAGTTTGTGAAGCTCATATGTTTCAGTTCATGGCACCTAATCTTAAGTTGAAACTAACGGAATTGAGAATTCAGGTGCTCTATCTGCAACAATATAAGTATGCTGGGGTCTATCTGCAATTAACCCTTAGTTTTTACGTTTATGTGGAAGATTAGGGGTGTCGAATCCAGTTTGGATTCCTCTAAACCTTATTTCTTTGTGCTTGTGCGGGGTCAGAGTGAATGTGTGTGAGCCTTGATTATGTTGAGCATCTCCATTTTTAAGGGGGCAAGAATTATGAAGAGGACGGTATGTTGTGCGCAGCGAAAATTTCGGCAGAGTTTCTGGTGCACAATAAGAGAGAAAGATCGATAATAAGAATTCCCGTCTCACCAAGGAGACAAGAATCTGAAGCGGATATCTCAACCAAGTGAGATATCGGCTCTTCCTCTCATCAGTTCTAGGACTGACCTGTCGAGGGATCCTAATAACTATTACAATGGCCACAAATTCAAACAATCAATTTTACGTGGTTCGGCAAACTGCCTACGTCCACGGGGCAAGGAGGGGGGAGATCTACTATTAGAGGGAGATAATACAACTAGGGTTTACAATCACTCAATCTAAACCCTCATACAAATATCTCTCTCAAAAGCACAAAAGCCTATTTGCACGAAGCCAAAGAAAGCCGCTGATTTTTCTCTCTCTTTGCAACTGCTCTCTGCTTTTAGTACTGCGCCTTTGCCAGCCGTCCTTTTCTCCTGCGCGAACCCCTTCTGCACGCTGCTTTTCAAAGCCCTGCACTAAATCCGCCTAAGAAAAAAAAAATGCTGCCCAAATCTTCCCTCTGCTTCCGCACCACCTAGGGAAAAAACATCAGGCTATTTATATAGCTAATGATATTGGGTAATCGGGTGGGCTGAGGTGATTTGTCCGCTGGACTTGATCTCTTCACGCGTCAAAAACCCAATGGAATTCTCCCTCGAACACTTGTGCCCCCCACACGAAGATGCAATCAACAATCATGAGATTTTCAAGCTCACGTGATCCCTTTGAACTCTTGTGGCCCCCACAAGCATGTCTCCAACAATTCTCCACCTCGGTGAAGTTTTTTCAAAACTGAGCCGATACCAACCAAACCAAATGTCTCACTTGTTGTGTCCAGTACACCGTGAAACAATTCACGACAACAGACTCAATCCATAACAAGTTAAGAACCCAAATGAGAGTGCGAACACTCACCCAAATGTCAGTTTCTACTCACTAAATCGATCTCACCCTCAGCAAAATCCAACCCGGTTGCATCATAAAGACTGCCTACGTATCCTCTTGCCCAAGGAATTAAGCCGAACGTAGTTCACCAAAATGGCCTCCAAAGGTTTTAATCCACTAGAAGAGTTCGCAACCCTTCTCCAACATCATCAACTCTGCGGCTGATAGCACCTCCAATGACCTCAAACACTTCCACCTGAGGTGAACCAATGACCATATCCAAGCTACATCTATCAGCTGCACTCGAATCAAAACCCAACTCATCATCTGCATCCGAATCCAAATGACTTTCACGTTGTGTCACATCAGCTGGAATCCCAACCAATGCAGAATGATCTGGAGTAATCTTTACCTAATGTGAAGTAGCATCACTCTCCACCCGCTGCGATACCTCTAAGGTCTGTCCAAAACTCTCCACCTGCTGAGAGTCAACCGGCTTCCTCATTGAAGCATCAACCAAAGTGACACTATCAGACCTATCTTCCAATGGAGTTTTACCTCCAATCACAGCAGTTGACAACTTTTTAATAGGATGACCCAAATATGTCGAAGCCTCTGTCCAGAAACTCTTCTGCAGACCATTGCTTGACAACAAACACCGATCCTCCTCCAGCAATGTACGGTTCTCCAAATTTATCACCCTATCAAGTTGCCCCAAGATTTTCTTTCCAACGAAGTGTCTCGAAATACCGTGAGCTCGGCTCCAATGCAGAAACAGGTCCATCTTGTACCTCCCACCAGAATGGAGTACATTCACCTTTCTGCCAATATCACACTTCTTCAATCTGTTGGAGACTACTAGGACTTTATCCATAGGGGATTTGGTTGCAACCTAAACACGCCTAGAACAGCCACCAACAAAGGAAACCAATCGCCTATTACCTCCCAATGATGCCCCCTTGGAAGGCCCCCAAACATCCACGTGAACTCCTCCAGAACGATCCTTAGCACGGTGAATAGAGGTGCCATACTTTACCTCGGTCTTCTTGCTCACATCAACATGTTCACTGGACTTCAAACTGCAGGTCTTCGCACCCTCTTTCAATCTATGCGAGGAATCAATACTGGAATGGTCAAGCCCCAAATGCCGCAGTCTAATCGAATCAACAGAAGTCGTCAGCTCTCCACCTGCCACTATACCCCCAGTCAAGTAATACAAGTTATTCCTCCTGACACCCTTCATCACAATCTGAGAGTCTTCCAAAATCTTGAGAACCATGTCCTCAATTCGAACATTCAGACCCTCTCCAACCAAAGCTCCAATCGAGATCAAGTTCTTCCTCAAAGAAGGAACATATCTCACATCGTTTAACTCTCTAACAGTCCCGTCAAACATCTTTATGCGAATTCTTCCTATCCCAATGATCTGGCATGCACGGTTATCAGCCATGTACACCACACCACTATCCACCAGCTTCTCAAAACTGGAGAACCATTCCCTTCTAGGGCACGCATGATAGGTCACATCACTATCCAACATCCATTCAGATTCCTCCAAATAGCTATCTGTAGGACTGATAGAAAGCGAATAAATAGAAGAGTCAGAATTATTACCATCCGATACGATGTTTGCTTCTGATGATGGTTGCTTCCCTTTTCCCTTCTGCTTATTCTTCATCCATTCGTCGAGCTTTGGGCAGTCTTTCTTCCAATGACCAGTCTCCTTGCACCAAGCACACTGATCTTTTCCTACTCTAGACTGTGACTTCCAATTCTTCCGGTTTGGATTCTTCCCTCTTGCGACTAACGCCTCTGCTACCGACTCAGTCGAATTCTCCTTATCCTTCTTTCGAAGCTGATAATTCACAAGTGCAGCAGTGACCTCACTATACGAAAGTGATGCCTTCCCATTAATAAGAGTAAGGACGAAGGTCTCATATTCCTCGTCGGGCAAGGAACTCAACAACAGTAATGACTTGTCCTCATCTTCAATCTTGACATCCACATTCGCCAAATCCGCAAGAAGCTTTGTGTAGTGATTCATGTGATCTCTAATTGAGGTTTTCTTCTTCAACTGGAAACGATAAAGTCTCTTCATATGCAAACGGTTCTCAACACTCTTTGTCAGATACTTGCTTTCGAGAATCTCCCAAATCTTCTTCGCAGAAGTCTCATTCATCACATTATATTTTAGATCTTGAGTCAAACAATACCTAATCACACCACACGCCGTTCGATTCATCTTTTTCCAAACATTCTCTTCAATCTCATCTGGCTTGCCATCTAACTCCAATGTATCCTCCAAATTCTGCGCGTTCAGCGCATCCAAAACCTCGCTTCTTCACATCTATCTTCATAGAGTGGATATTCAAACTCTGAATAGTCTTCACGCCAGAAGAACCACCCTCGACACCCGAAGCACCTTCTTTCCCCGACATCTTACGCACCAACGAACGAAGAATAGATCCAAAACTAAAAAGATAGAGTCTTTACCAAAAGATCCCACATTTATCACCAACGAAGCCCTAAACGAGCCTCCAAATTGATCTACTCCTCCAACCAAACCCTAGATCTGGAATCTGGACTCTGATACCACTTGTTATGCGCAACGGAAATTTCGGCAGAGTTTCTGGTGCACAATAAGAGAGAAAGATCGATAATAAGAATTTCCGTCTCACCAAGGAGACAAGAATCTGAAACGGATATCTCAACCAAGTGAGATATCGGCTCTTCCTCTCATCAGTTCTAGGACTGACCTGTCGAGGGATCCTAATAACTATTACAATGGTCACAAACTCAAACAATTAATTTTACGTGGTTCGGCAAACTGCCTACGTCCACGGGGCAAGGAGGGGGGAGATCTACTATTAGAGGGAGATAATACAACTAGGGTTTACAATCACTCAATCTAAACCCTCATACAAATATCTCTCTCAAAAGCACAAAAGCCTATTTGCACGAAGCCAAAGAAAGCCGCTGATTTTTCTCTCTCTTTGCAACTGCTCTCTGCTTTTAGTACTGCGCCTTTGCCAACCGTCCTTTTCTCCTACGCGAACCCCTTCTGCACGCTGCTTTTCAAAGCCCTGCACTAAATCCGCCTAAGGAAAAAAAAAAAAAACGCTGCCCAAATCTTCCCTCTGCTTCCGCACCACCTAGGGAAAAAACATCAGGCTATTTATATAGCTAATGATATTGGGTAATCGGGTGGGCTGAGGTGATTTGTCCGCTGGACTTGATCTCTTCACGCGTCAAAAACCCAATGGAATTCTCCCTTGAACACTTGTGGCCCCCACACGAAGATGCAATCAACAATCACGAGATTTTCAAGCTCACGTGATCCCTTTGTACTCTTGTGGCCCCCACAAGCATGTCTCCAACACGGTAAACGTGTCATCAGATTTACGCAATTGACTAAATTTTAGTATGATGTTTACATGTTTTCTGTTTGATTAGGACTTCAGTAGCTAGGAAGCAGTTCAACAATAATTAAGGTTTGTGATGCTTGAAGTTTGGCTTTTTGAAAATCTAGAATAAAAAAAGTAAGGATTGCTATCCAAATTAAATGGTGAATGTCAACATTTGATAATAAAATGTTATTTCAAATTTGTTAGTTCGTAGGTGCATACAATTTTAGGGAGTACCACTCTATTGTCATGCAAGAAATGTGATGATACAAATTAGGTGGGCTTGTTAGACTAGCAAAATAGTTTTTTTTTTTACTTTCTTCTGTTTGGGATTCTAGCAAATATATGCCCTGATGGTTTTCTTTCTTTTTTGAAATTTACATATTTTACCTTGTGTTTTCTTTTTCATGTTTCCAGATTTAGACTTGCTTTTTGGAGTAATTTTGCTACCATATAATTATCCCAGAGGACATTTACAGTAACAGTTTTAATAAATTGACAAATAACTAACTTAAGTTTTGTTGTGGGATTAAACTAGATAATACTTATTTATGTTAGTCATCTTAGTGAACATATGGGTGTTTTTACTTATCGATTGACCAGATGTTACATCCTGTAATAGAACTGCTTTGTTTTCCTTGAATGAGTAATCGGTAGAATTGAGTGTGTCATTATTTCTTGTGTGTTGTTAAAACTTATATAACATGCTTTGATTCTCACTATGCATCATCGATTCAATTTTTGTCTATTGGTACCTGGAGGAGAGGATACTTGCGAATTTCACAGCCCCTTTAGGGGCCTTCCCTCAAGAAATTGAATACATCCCTCAAGAAATTTCCCTCGAGAAATTTATTATTCCTGGTATCTTGTTTATAGAGCACGGATTCACACCCCTGCTTTTATTTGTCTTTATTTTCCTAAAATTTCATCATTTTACCAAAATAAACAAATATGAATAATCAATTTATATAACTCTTCAGAAGTTGATGTGCATCATTTCAGGATCACATTCATTATAGCATTCCTGTTGCTACTAATGGGCGCTGCACTGAATGATCAACGAGGAAACCAAAATATGTACTTTGGCGACTACTGCTATGTCGTCAAGCCTGGAGTTTTTGCAGGAGGTGCAGTTCTCTCTCTTGCCAGCATCTCTCTCGGTATAGTTTACTATGTCGTCCTCTCTTTATCAAAGAGCACCAGTGCTCAGACTTGGGGACCTTCAACTCAGAACCAGGGAATTGCATTAGGACAACCTCAGATCCCGCCTCAAAGTACCCAACCGGTTTTTGTGCATGAAGACACTTACAATAGACAGCAAGTTCCCTGACCAGAAGTCGCTGCTGTTATTTGTATATAGGACAGTCCCTGAATCCTTAAGAAGACTACCGATCAATGAGCTATTTTTGCTGTATTGAATCTTTAATCAATTTGAGCTTAACATGTTTGTCTTCAGTTGGATACAAATGCAGTAGGCATCAATTGTGGTACAAAAACAATAGTCACTAACAGGTGTTTGTGCACAAAGACACTTACGAGTACTGGTCGATGAGTTATTCTTGCTGTGTTGAATTTTTAATCAATTTCAGTTTGATACAAGTGCAAGTGCACTATACATCAAATGTGGTTTGATTTATTGGCGCGGAACAAAGTGATAATGTCATCTACAATTGTCTGAAAGCTTTCGGTGCCGTTCACTATAGTTATTCCTTCGGCTTCATCAACCTGAAGCAGGTCAAGTTGAGACTGTAGCAAGGATTCTGGCATGAAATGATTCCCTTCTTTAGATCTTCTCCTGATTCTCTCAGCAATTACTTCCTTTGGTGCCTTCAAGCAAACAAATTTCACCTTGCAGCTTGTATAGTCCCCAGGGTGGTAGTTTTGATCCGATGATCTTAGGATCTCTCTGTACTTCTTTTGTAGTGCCGAACAAGTGAGGACTGCGGTCTCTCCGCTGTTGATCTTTTTCATAGTGGCATCTCGGAGTGCTTCAAGCCATGGAATCCGATCTTCATCAGAAAGTGGAATTCCATTTCTCATCTTCTCTGTATTACAGGAAATGAAAATACTGTTACGGCCTATTAATTTTATAACTGTCAGAGAATATAGAAACTCTTGGAATACCTTTGTTTTCCTGAGAGTGGAAGTCGTCTGCTTCGAAAAAGCTGCAACCTAACGATTCTGAGAGTTTCTGGGCGACCGTCCTGTAAACATAGCGAAATAGTCGTAAATCCTAAAAAATATCGAGATAAATCATCACGATATTGTCATCTGTTTGATAAAATATATTTGAAAAACAAAAGCATTGCGTTTAATATGCTCATATCCATGGATCTCAAGCTCCGCTAGTATCAAATCTCATTACATCAAAAAGCACAGATAAACTGAACCTTTATCTGTCTCAATGAACAGGTCAGATGTGGAAAACAATCTCGATCAAGAGAAGACACAAAAAAAAAAGCAATGAAACTAGCTGTTACAGGTTTGCCAATAATCTTAGTCATGCCTAAAAACATTCCTAAATCTTGCCTGAAATCTTTCTAAGTCCTATTATCGACAATGTATGTACATATATCACGTTCATCACTTGATTGTGTACACCTTGTTTGCTTGATCTGCGTATCTGATTTCGTCGCATAGGATCCTAGAGTCAGATTACAGGATCTTCATCCTCGACATCGCTAATATACATATAAAGTCCTAAACTAATGTATATAATGTATATAATGTAACCAACAAAATTATCTAAATGCATTTATCTGAAAAAAAAAGTGACATCATATTTGCTTGAGAGAGAGATGTAATTCAAAATTTTTTTTTTAATAAAAGGGACAAGAAAAGAAGCCATCATCTACTTTATTTGGGCCCAGATTATTAAACGCAGCATTTTACAGTAACCTAATATTCATTATCTTCTTCAAAGCATCCCCATCCTTTGAAAAAGGTTTTTTTTTTTTAATTCTCTGTAGTTTATTTGCTACCATTTAACTTTAAATTCTTCATTTTTGGTAGATTTAAAGTTAGAAGACTTACGATTTTCCTGAGCCACTGACCCCCATGATCACAATTGCAATCCCTGCAGAAGTTCAGAATAATTATACAAACACATACACCTAAGGTGATTTAAGATAATTTACAAATCTAGCCGCACCAAGAAAAAGAAATCTGAGAATTTAGGTATCAAGAATCTTCTAATCTATGAGAACTAAAATCTTTCAAACCAAATTAAATAATAAAATTATTGGGGAATTTGAGAAGAAGAGCACCTTTAACTTTTAGATCAGCAGCCATAGAGATACGTGCGAAGATTGAAAAGGGCAAAAAGCGATCTTTAAGAACTCAGTAATTAAGTGATCAAAGAGACGGGCCAACTAATTTCAGCCCGCAAATCTATCTATCACATGTTTTGCACGTGCGATACAGGGGGGAGGACTTTTACATACCTGGCCTCGTTTCTTTCTTTCTTTCTCGTTCAAATTGTTTTTTTTTTTTTTTTTTGAGCCCTTGAGTCTCAAGGAGCAACCTAGAGCATGGGTCTCAACTTAATAACTCAGCCCAATTCTAGATATTTAATTGGAATCAAACCGTCCGGATATCACAGGGTAAGTTTTACACTTTTATTGTTTATTGAATTATTGTACCGCTTTATATGTGGTCATATCAATTAGAGTGACACTACGGTCACACTGCCCACCACACCATGGGACACAACCCCCCTCACAGCTACAGTGCACGGGCTCACTTTAGATTTTTAAAAAAAAATCTAAAGTGGGCCCGTGCACTGTAGCTGTGAGGGGGGTTGTGTCTCATGGTGTGGTGGGGAGTGTGACCGTAGTGTTTTTTTTATCAATTATATCTGTGTTTGGAATTTAGATATTCTTTCGAATCAAAAGGTACTATAGATATTATTATTATTATTGTTTGGGTCAAAATGCACATACTCCTACTCAGGTATGATTTTAGTAACACTCGAGCTCATCCTCAACTTATATTCATAGTTGCTATCCAAATATTTGACAGATGATAAGGGCCACAGAAAATATGGGTGGTGAGATTTATCTGCAATATATTTACCTTTATTTTTATATTCATAGCGCGCAGCTTACTTCTTGAGTAAATAAATGAAAAATAACTATTTTTAAGTTATTAGTGCGTACGACTGTATATATGGGCCAATGCGGTTATCCTACTTATCTCATATCTCTTGAGTAAACAAATGATAAAATTCCAAGTTGGATTTTGCGAGACACAACGCACATTAGCTAACATGCAAGTTTAAAGAATAAAATTCTATAATAATAATAATAATAACAAAATACAGAAATAGCTTGGGAGCCCAATAGCCGTCCCTGACGTCTTGGAATCATCACTCAAAAATATTATTCATCGTTAAAACCATGATGAACATTAATAATAATGCTAGCATAGCAAAGTTAACTCCCTTGTGCTTTACATTGTGATTTTCCCCTCTTTTTTTTTTAATCAAAGTGTACGGATAATATGACTATGATTAAAGAACATAAGCTTTATTTAGTTAAAAATAACCACATACGGTTCCCGCCTCAGCGACGTCGCGACGGTTGCCGATGGGGGATTCTGCGAAATATATAACGCGCTCTCTTGTGGAGTAGTGGGTCCCACCTAACAACATATAAATTTCACTGGCAGAAGGGGCCCACGTTTTGTCTCCTCCTCTCTTCCCCCCCACCCCCCCACCAAAAAAATCGCCCTCATTCTCTCTCCGACTCCAAAATCTTTTGAAAGAGTCTCTCTCTCTGAGATTTCCCCCACTCTTATCTTCTCTTTTTTGTATTCCCCTCTGAAAATTGGGGATCGGGAGGAGGAGATCGGACGTCAAGATTGGATTTTCGGTAATTTCTTATGTTTTTTTTTGTTTGCTCGATCTTGATGGGTGTTTTCATGAACGAGATTGATTAGTAGGAAATTAAATCAGCACGCCAGTTCGCTTTTCGTCTTAGTCGAGATCGTCAATTTGTAGTTGTAATCGCATTGGTGATTTATTTAATTTTTTGTTAGGGTTGATCAAAAAAAAAAAAAAAAAATGATCTTTCTTTTCTCAATCCGTTTTATCTTTATATAACGTCTTTTATTTGATTGAGGCTCAGATGATACTGCTGCACGCTCGTAGGAAATGAATGGACACAATTAACTCTTTGGAAATTAGAAGGGATAAGGGTTCTTCATGGTCCCTTTCATCTTAAAAAAGCTTTTTTAGAGTCATTTTGGATTTGGTTGTGCATCTTCTTGTGATGTAGGGGTGAGAGCATTAATTGATCTGAACCGATTGAAACAGACCCAAATGTCAACCGTTCGGTTCAACGGTTTGGTTAGTTTCGTCCGAAAAAAATCTCAACTCGAACCGACCAAATCTTCTCTCTCTCTTTTTTTATTTAATAATAATAATTACTTCAGTTGATGCGCATTGTTTTTTGTTGATCCCTTGATTTGTGTACTTTAGCCTATTTTCTTAACTAAGTGGGTCAAACAGACTGAACCAAACCGCATTGAGCTAATTTTGATTCAGTTTGCCCAAATTTTGAATTGAACGCTAGTTAGATTAGATGGAGTGTTTGATAGAGATCTTTTTTTATTATTATATATTTTTGTTGATTTAGGAACTAGGATATTATTAGATATAAATAAAACAAGGATTATTATTTATTACCAGGATTATTTTTCCCCTTATTGCCTCACTTGTAAACCTCTAGACAGCTTTAGTTTCCCCCCATTACTTTTGCGATGGAATTTTCCAAGATTATCAATTTTTTTCCACTACTTGCTTCTGTTATATCTTCCTTATAATTTTAGTTTATTGATTTATAACTATTTATTTTTAAAACATTTGGCTTGACTGATAACCTAATAAAAAAAATTCGGGTGTTTAACAAATGATAATCTGAGTAGGTAGAACAACTGGCTCATGACAGAGTGCCATGGTTGATCTTGGCACCTTGTTCTTCTGGAAACTGCAAAGCTTCCTGGGCGTGTCTGCACTCTTTAAACTCTGTAAGGGAATTCTTCTGTGTATGGCTTGGAATCAGTGAACTGAAGAATTTAACTACCGGGTTGCACTATGGAGAGCGAAGATCCAAAAACCGCATCTCCAAGGTCTCCGAGGTCACCAAGGTCCCCCAGAACACCTCGTGGGAAGCGCAACACCAGCAAAGGCAGTCCAGTAGGGCATAACAGGCATCCACACTCAGGAAGAGACGGCCTGGTGGTAAGTATTTTTATTTTTTTCTTAACACGCATTTATCAATCTGTTCAGTATGTAAAGTAGTTTCAGGAGATACACTGATTCATCCCGCGGTCATAGGCTACAATTAAGGCGTTACAGTTTTGCTCCATCATCATATTTATACCATTATTTTTTGTTTGCGTTTTTCGTCAAGTGTCTGTGCTCTGATAGTTATAACAAACCTATTCTTGCTCTCAAGGCTTGTGGCATTTAGACCTATCTTCAAAATCTCCTTAGCGGCATTTGGACGTACCTTGAGCGAGTTCTTCTATTAACAACATATTCTTGAAAGACAAGAGTACATTTACCTTCTCCTTGATCCAAAAATAAGTTACTATATGACGAAGTGTCGGCCAGGGTTGATTCATGATTTAGTTCTAGGTTGATTCTTAATAAATAAATTCAGGTATAGCTTTCATCGTTCTTCAATATGCAATTCTTAATGCAATTGAATGTGTGTCTCTCGTGTTCCTTCACAACACATCCAACTGACATATTAGGCATTATTTGTTGTTTCACTTTTTCACTTTTTTATTCCCTTTTTCTTCTCCTTAGTATTTAAATAGGAAGAATCCTGTTTTAGGTCATTTTATAATATTACATAGGCATGATTGACAAAATATTTATGTAAGCTGTTATAAGATCATACTCGTGTATTTTGGATCTCCCACGTATGCGATTTTACAGCTGATTATTTTTCTTTTCCCAAAAAAATATCATTTTTTTAATTCTGTGAAAGAACTTAAGTAAACGAACTAGATATTTGTGAAATCATCAGACAGCAAATTTCTTTTGTTTAGTAAACATTCTTTTAGTCCATAATGCGCTGATGCAAATTGGTTTGGTTATGTGGAGTCTCTTCCAATTAAACTAATTGTTTATGGAAACCTGTTGTTGCAGGAAAACGACCTGTTAACTTCTAGTAAATTATCGGTAGATTTTGAAGAGTTTAAAAAGAAGGCTACAGTGATAGTTGAAGAATACTTCACAACTGATGACATGGTGTCAACTGCAAATGAACTGAGGGACCTTTGCCGGCCATTATATCACTACTATTTTGTGAAAAAGCTTGTCTCATTAGCCATGGATAGGCATAACAAAGAGAAGGAAATGGCTTCAGTTCTTCTTTCAACTCTCTATGCAGACGTGATCGATCCCCCCCAAGTCTACAAAGGTTTCTGCATACTAGTCGAAGCTGCAGATGACTTATCTGTAGATATACCTGACACTGTGGATGTTCTTGCTCTTTTCATTGCTCGGGCAGTGGTCGATGAAATACTCCCTCCAGCTTTTCTCACAAAAGAGAGGACAAACATAGCAGAAGACTCAAAGGGGATTCAGGTGTTAAAGAGAGCAGAAAAAGGCTACCTATCAGCTCCCCTCCATGCTGAGATTATACTGAGAAAATGGGGAGGAAGCAAGAGCACTACAGTGGATGATGTAAAAGCTAACATTAACAACCTTCTGGTTGAGTATATTGCAAGTGGAGACAAGAAAGAGGCTTGTAGCTGTGTTAAGGATCTCAAAGTTCCTTTCTTTCACCATGACATAGTGAAGCGAGCGCTGATTTTAGCTATGGAAAGACGATCAGCTGAGGGACTGATCTTGGATTTGCTTAAGGCGGCTTATGAAGAAGGGATAATCAATGACAGTCAGATATCTAAAGGATTCAACCGTCTCATTGATACGATTGATGACTTGTGCCTTGACATTCCAAGTGCTAGAAGTCTCTTGCTGTCTTTGATATCAAAGGCAGCATCAGAAGGATGGCTTTGTGCTTCCTCTTTGAAGCCAATTCATGTCCAACCACAGAAACAAGTGGAGGATAAGACAACCAGGCTTTTCAAGTCAAAGTCTACAACAATCATCCAAGAATATTTCTTGACAGGTGATATCCCAGAAGTGATTGGTAGTTTAGAGGCAGAAAACAAATTGTCCTCCGCCTTATTGAACGCTCTTTTTATCAAAAAGTTAATAACCCTAGCAATGGATAGAAAGAACCGGGAAAAGGAAATGGCTTCAGTGCTATTAACATCACTTTGTTTCCCAGCAGAGCATTTGGTGACAGGCTTTCTTTTATTGATTGAGTCAGCAGAAGACACCGCATTGGATATTCCAGCTGTCGTAGAGGATTTAGCCATGTTTTTAGCGAGGGCCGTAGTTGATGAAGTACTGGCACCATTTCACTTGGAGGAAATTGAGAGTCAGTGTGAAGGGTCAATTGGAAGCAAAGTCCTCAATCTTTCACGTTCGCTTCTCAAGGCTCGCCTCTCTGGGGAGCGAATATTGAGGTGTTGGGGTGGAGGTGGTAGTAGCAAGACTGGATGGGATATTGATGATGTTAAGGACAAGATTAGTAAGTTGATAGAGGAATATGATTCTGGTGGGGATGTGAGAGAGGCTTGCCGATGTATAAAGGAGCTTGGGATGCCGTTTTTCCATCATGAGGTGGTGAAGAAGGCACTGGTGAATGTGATGGAAAAGAAGAACGAGCGGTTGTGGAGATTGTTGGAGTGTTGTTATTCAATGGGTTTAATCACATCACATCAGATGACGAAAGGGTTTGGGAGGGTCGCGGATTGTATGGATGATCTTGTGCTGGATGTACCAGATGCGGAGAAACAATTCAAGTTTTATGTTGACAGAGCCAAGAAGGAAGGCTGGGTTGATTCTTGCTTTTCCTCTGAGAGATCAGCAGCTGCATTAGAGAATGGCAACGCCAATAAAGCCTAGGCTTGCGAAACTATACGAGACTGTGACAGAGTAAACATCATATCGAGTAAGTTTTCTTCTCATTTTGGAATGACATGTACGTAGTTTCTTTGCAGGTTTATCATTGGAAGAGAGACATATAATAGGAAAAATGCTAATCAAATGACTAAAATTATTTGAATTATCCTATGGATTTTGTCCACTGACGACATTTCCCAAAAACATTAGTTAAAACTGTCTGCGATGGTTGCTTTGATTTGATTTTCTTTTTTTGGGTCAACATTTTAGTTGGCATAAAACCATCAGTCTTGCGTTATACTATTGCATACTATGTAATTTAACTGCGTACGCTAACTGTTCTTTGAATGGGCATCGCAGGTCATTCATAAACCTCCGCTCAATTTGTTCTTTATACTCAATTCTTCCCTACGAAGGTGATTCACTTTCGGGGATCCATTCAATTCTGACTTTACGAGGAGACGAGACGCGAACGCTGAACTCCTCATCTTCTTGTTTTGTAATTCGTTACTCTTTGTACTGCTGTTCTTGTTGTTTGGTTCTTAGCGTCGTAGCTGGTGTAATAAAGGAACTAATAGTTTGTGTTGATTCTATCGTGTGTGTTAACTGCAGGGTAAGGATGATATATGAGAGATCTATCGAACATTCGCAAGATGTTAAGGGCTTGTTTGGCAAGCTGATAGAAATCTGGCCGGTCCAGCTTTATTTTTTTTTAACCGAGCCAGAATTGAATGTGAGGCGGTTCGATTCTAGCCTTGTTAAGAGGCTAAGACATGAACTAAAACAAGTTGAGCCATCTCTAGCCCAACTTTCCCAAACACAAAACTATATTAAAATTAGATTAGGTTTTTTTTTTAAACGTAGTCCGATTCTAGTGGTTTGCCAACAAGCCTTAAAGAGTTTCTTGGAATGGAAAGCTCATAAACTTGGTGTTATTAAATCAATCTATTAATGACCAGCTACCTTGCATTGAATCCATTAATGACCAGTTTTTTTTAAAAAAAAAATACAAGGAAAGAACGAAAGAAAAACACTAGGATACAACAGAATACAAGTTGGCGTAAGAATTCTGATACAAACTACACACCACTGGCCCTTCAGATGCGCCAGGATTCATGCTAGGCGAAACGGAGATAACAAACAACAACATCGTCCAAATTATATTTCACAGCATGCAGAAATGAGAAAGCTGATGAAGCCCGTAAAAAAAAAAAAAAAAAAAAAAAAAAAATTAAACCCAAAAAAAAAAAAAAAAAAAAAAAAAAAAACTTAGGATCAAACCAAACCGAAGCCCACGATCGTGTCTTTCGCCAGGATCAGCAGCAACACCAGTACACGGAGAAGATTAGCAGGGAAGTGGTCGGAGATGACTTCGAGACGAGGAGGAGAGCAGGGATGAGAGCGCGGGTGATCGATCTTTTGAGAAAGTTCGAGCCTCTTGAGCTTCAAGCTCTCGTTCGCGAGCCCGCTGCTGCGCGTTTTGGCCGAGCTTGCTTCTAGAGGACTGAAACACAGAACCTCTTTTCCTCTCAAGCTTGCGACCCCGCTAGCTGCCTTGATGATTTCCTGCATGTTAATATTTCATTTAATTTGTCACTCTTCCTAGCAACTTTTCAACGCTATCAAAAAAAAAAAAAAATAAATAAATGAAGAATAAGAACTGCTATTTCCACTACTTCAAAAAAATAAAAAGAGAAACAAACAACAGAAAGTATTACTTTACTTCCACTGCTTCGTATTTCATAAATTTTAAACGGGTTACCCTAAGTAACATTCAGGAGAAACGCCTTTTCACGGGATAAAACGATTACGAATAAACCCGGCCATTTTTGGGTCCAATCGTTGTGGAGCTGAAATGATAAAAAGCGCCGAGATAGTGTGAAGAGGAGGCCCTTGACTCTGTTTACCTTTTTTGGCTTCGGAGGGGCGAGGGTAGAGGAGATCGCTGGCGACGCGGGGGGACCTTCGTCGAGCTTGGATCAGACGACGGCTGAGCTAGCTCTCGCGATGGAGGCGAGGCGAGGGGATCGGTCGGAGGGGGAGAGGGACGGAGGGCTCCACAGGATACGAGAAGCCATCGCCATCGATCGCTCAGCTCAGCAGGAAGAGGATGGAAAGGAAAGTGGGGTTGCTTCGAACGTAGGAGAGCTTCCCTCGATATATAATAGGCCTGTTTTCCTTTTTCTTAAAAAAAAAAAAAAAACTGTAGTGCAATTTCATTTTTATTCAAATAATAAAAAACTTGCCTCTCATCTTGAGGAATCATTTATATGGGAATCAAGAACCAGCGGCATAATGGGATCGTTAACTGACTTGAACCGAACTCACTGCATAGCGGCACCCACATGCTAATTTATCACTAAGCTTTGTCACCAACATCCCGTTTCCTTCTGCTTCATGAGAACATCCAGTTTTAAAAAAAAAAATTATAAATCTAGTTACTTTTACCCATCGAATACGATTCGATACAAACGTTTGCAGTCTCAATACCCAACAATATTTCCCTAGGACTCAACGTTTGCAGTCTCAATACCCAACAATATTTCCCTAGGACTCGCGGTGCTTCCCATCTAGTGGCATTCAAATGCAAGCTACAGGTATTACACCTTTACATCCCAACTATTTCCTGACAGTGAAAATGGTAAATAAAAAAAATACAGAGACCAATATTTCTCGTCTCAATTATCTCCTGCGGTTAAGTGGAATATGCAGAGATTAATCTCTCACCTCAATTATTCACATGCCTCTAGAACACCAAGGAGGTTAACAAGCTTATCAATGACCCCTTGTAGAAACAATCATGACTTAGCCCCGCCTAACATTATGGGCGTAAGAAAAAACTGATATCGATGAAAAAATATTTGGACCATGGAGGGAAAGGACCCAATGCAGGAATTATCATTATGGGAAAAGAATTATGAGGGTTACAAGCATATCAGTTAGTTCATTATTGAACAGACAATTGGTCAAGAGGTTAATGGAGTTTCGATCAATACTGTTGACACAAAGATGGAAATCTCAATAAGAATGAGAAGCAATCAAGCGCGAAGAGTGCACACTTATTCTTGCACTCCAGATGAGGAGCTATTATTAGGGTCGTGTAATTTGTAAGAATGCGAGAATTTGGGTGGGAGGGTCATAAGGGGGCCGTCCCCGCTTTGGTTTAGCAATGCCAACCCCAATGAATAGCCGAGAGCTTTACTCACAGAAACTGCCACAGCATTGCCAATCTGCCGGTACCTGCATGTCCAGATTCAATCAGGACTCAACAATACAGAATCAGCAAATAATGTAACAGAAGAAAAAGCTTGACTGGGTCTTTTTTTTTGTGGGGCTTTTTTAAAAGCAGTGTGTACGACAGGAAATTGGTTTATGTGTTGCCCAAATGAAAAATATAGTAGGGTTGTATAAAAGAAATAGAAACAAACAGATAAGAAGGGGAAAAAAAAAATCTGGCGGTAGAAAAGGAAAGGATGGTCAAAAGCAAAAGCATTTGTGCCGTCGACTTTAATGACTAACGTTAAATTTAATTATCAGGCAGAAATTTTAATAGGAAAAAGAATCTTATCATGGCTGACAAGGCCACTGAAAATCAAAGTTCAAACCAGAATCAATTTCTTCTTTTGCAGATAAACGATTAATGTTAGTTAAACTAAAAGTAAATTTGTTGTGAAATACTCCCTCAGCTTTTTCTATTCATTCGGCAAATTTCCTATCAGAGAATTATTAACTATAAAAACAAGATACACATTACATAATAAGAAAATATTTTTCAAAAAAAATTTAACTAACACGCACTACTCCATTACAGGTGCCGTATCAAGGCTATTTTTGGTTAAACATAAAACCCCAATCTTCAATTATAATAATCTCTACTGCACAAATCTTGAAATCCTGATCCGATAAATTTCTGAACAAATATGTTAACAGTAGGCTTGTGCAGTAATCGAAACAGAAGTCAAGAAAAAAAAATAGCACATGAGAGTCCTTGATCATCATGGAAATATGCTTCCCTTTTTAATCCTTATTAATGCATGCTCTGATGTTAACCACATTTGCTGCATCTTTGTTTCATGTACAAAAAATCATAGCGAACATGTACGAGACAAACGATAGTCGTCTAGATAAATCAATAACAGAGAAGATTGTAGCTGCTATTACATAAAAAGAACCAAGCCAAACTGAGAAGTGAATTGCCTCCAGAAACAACTTAAAATAAGACAATTTCAAAGATAAAAAAAGGCTCCTTGAGCAAGGGAACTTGCATAAGGTACTGACAACAAACCATATTAATAATTAGAAATTTCTAATCTAATATACTATCAAAGTAAATGCGACAAGTGAAGTGCTCAAGTTCAAAACTGCGAAAAAAAAGGTTATATTTTAAGGATTGCAAGAATAAGTACAGTACAAATACCTTTGCTTCACTGTCCCATAGAAGTGATAGTGATCAGGAAAGCCTTGAGCTCTTGCAGCCTCCCGAATTGTAAGGACCCTATCTTGTTCTGGATGTAATATCGTCTGGAATGAAAGGTTATATTTTAATCTGGCAGTGACTATAACAGAATGATCAAAAGATAAACTGCACATTTACCATTCATTTCTTTTAAATTTTATTTCTGACCCTCCCTAAACTTTCATATATGTCATATCCCAACCTTTTGACAGTTTGAAAGCTGCCACGTCTTAAAAAGAATAATTTTATCATAACCACATGCTAGTCATGTACAGTTTTGCCCTTATGACTGCGTGGCAAAATGGTAACATGAAAATTAAAAAAGGTATGATGCAACTATTAACATGAAAATGTAAAGAACGTCATGGAAGCAATATATCCACCCTAACAAAAATAGCATTATCTGGAAATTTAATTTATTGGCAAAGAAGCTAATGGCATATCAAACAGCAACGTCATTTAAAATGTAAACAGTATAATAGAAGTGCAAAAGCAGTGGCATGAGATCAACAATTGTACCATGAAATTAACAATATTGGTATACAAAATGCACTGGATTAGCTTTTTCAATCTGTAATATTTTGTCTTCCGACGTAGGGGCAACAAGCGAAGAGTTATTAAAATGAGGGGTAAGGTATGACTGAAAGCCGATGGAGAAGTTAAAAAAATTACAAGATGAGAGCGCAGAAACATTTTTCCCAAAAGAATACCCAAACAAGGTTAGTTGATTTCCCTACCTGGCTATGTGAATCAGGAACAGTTAGCACAGTTGGCACTATCTCGTCCCACCATAATCGAGAGAATGGTCTGCAAACAGCATCATAAGTTACCATAAAAAACTATGAGCAAAAGGAGATTTTTATCATTCATGTCTAAGAGATTTTCAAATATTTGAACTTACTTTGATGTCTTTCCTTCCCAGAGGTTCAAGGCCCAGTCTGGAACCTGAGGAAGAAAAGGAAAATTTCCCAACATTATTATTCTCGAAGGCATGCCAAACAAATCATAATTAATATTCATAAATTTAAACCAGGTTAAAAAGTTGTGGCACGTATAAAATCATTGTCCGAACCATTCTGAACGATTTTAATAGTTGTAAAATATATTACTGTTATTTAAATGATTTAAAATACTACTGCAATTTCAGAAAGGTGCAGTATGTTACTGTTATTTTAAACTGGGAGGAGAGTAAGGGATACTGAAAACGAAACAAATGAAGTAGTACTGAATAATTTTGATGCAAGAGAAGGGGAAAATAGAGAAGATTTGCAAGATGACTTACCAGTGGCCTACCAGATGGCAATAGTACCCGATCCATTGTTGGATCAAACTGAATTTTATTGTTAACGTCAACAACAAGACCAGGAAGATCCCTTAAGTTTGCACCCTACAAGAAGTATCCTTTACTTGGAATAATTTACTAATGATGGTTGGATTCAATATGGAACGAGACATGGTTTGTACAGACCTTTCTCTTAGGGATTTGGCAAACTCTCAAGTAGTCATCATCACTTAGTCGTTGAGGACGATGGTCATACAACAAAGATGTTTTTACATTATTCGCTGACATCGCTGTTGATCCCAACATCTCTGCAATTATTAAGGGCACTTCAGAATCCAAAATCATTAGCAACTACATATTGTACACATCAATAAATTGTGAGGTAGAGCGCAACTTAAAATCATATTGCAAACCTGGTAGAGGACAGATTTCAAGATGGTATCAAGTTACCCATAAGGATTGGTAACAAGACATTAAAGAGAAAAAAGAAGGACAAATGAATGAAGCTTCAGAGTCATCAAATTTTCATACTTCGAGGACTTAAAGCCATGATAACAAGAATGTATAATAAAGCCATGATAACAAGTATAACTCCTGATATTGAAACCAAAAATGTGAACTGCAATTGCAGACAGTACCGAGATTTTAAATATTGTGCTTTATGACTTGCATATCCTCACTCAAATTTTTGCAACCTAAAATAACTCGAGGACTTAAAGTCATGATAGCATATATAAAGCATCCTGAATAGATAAAGAAAATCAGAGTTTTGTCTCAAAAGGAAGCTAGTTAAGCAGCACCTCTTGGCTGACAATCTTAATATAATACAACATAAGAAATGGGATGCAGAAAATATATCAAAGTAGCGAGATCAAAAACTAAGATCAAGCAATTGTTTCAGGAAATTGTAAATTCTGTTACTTATGACTATTGAAGAGTACAAAAAGGAACAAGAAAATACCATATGTTGATACAAATCTGCAGTTTTGTCCTAAAGATAAAGTAAATTCTTACAGCTAAGTTGACAATCAACTCACCTGACTTGGGGGCCCTGATATATCTCTGAAACTCATTTTGAGGATCTTTCTCATATTTCATTTGCTCTCGATCTTCCTGGTTTGTCACCTGCAAGGAAGATGAACCTGGTGAAGGATGAATTACAAGCACCAGATGATGATAGTTGGGAAACTTACTGCCGGAAGATCAGAAAAAATATCTTCAAGAACGACAGCCCTTTCCAATGCCCGTGGTTGGCCTTCATCATATCCAACAATGCTACGCTGTAATAAACATTTGCATTTCCATGACATGCCATGAATTGTAAAGAGTTCAGATAATGAACTTGAAGGAACATGAAATTGGTGGACCACATATTTGCCGAATACAAAAAGAATGAGGAGAGGTAGATCATGTCTGTAAATGGAACGCAGAACTAATAAAATTCTACAAGATTGAATAATATTTTCAGTCGTGCAATCCAGATCAGTGATCCTAATATCAAACTAGTGGTTGGATCAAGGATCAAGCTGAAAATCCAATCTGATAAACTAGATGGGTAAATCCAGACAGGACTCAAATGTATAAACTACAAGTCATGCTATATCAGAGGGAAAGTTCCATGCCATATTTCTTGGCATAAAAACTGATTTTGCCACTTTATAGCTTTATCATGCATTCCCATTTATAAAAAGGTCCCCTAGATATTAACAACATTGGCCAAAAAAATGGCACTCTTCTCCAAGAAATGTTCCATTGTACAAGTCCTACTCTATTCACAAATGAAAAATCAAGTTCACTAAATTATTAACTAGTTGTTGATTGAATGTACCTCAAATTCTATAGGAGCATAACCTTTCAAGATTACTTCATGGGTCGGAAGAGGAAATTGTGGCAATTTCTGCAGGAGAAAGCATTATAATAGGTAAAACAAGATGCAAAGCAAACTAAGAAACCATCATTAGATTAGCAGCTCACCTCAAAAGGATGACACCCCCACAAAAACACACGTAATCGAAATTGTGGAAGACCATAGCAACCTGCAGCCATCATTCCTAGTCTTGCTTGATAGTTCATGTAAACTAAGCGGCTTAGAGCATATCGTGCCAGTGTACCCTTGGCAAATTTCAGTAAATCACAAACATTTTCCATCAGTACATACTTAGGTTTGAGAAATTGTACAATGTCCATAAAGACAACAACTTGGCGGTTCCTCTCATCTTCTAACGGTGCATCAAAGTTTCTGAACCGATTAAAGCCGCTAATACCCTGACATGGAGGACCTCCGCATAGAACATCTACATCTCCCTGTTAGCCAGTAAGATGACAAAAAATAAAAAAATAAATAAAAACACATGATTTGTACATTAGTTTCAAAAGCAACATGTCGGATGTGTGTGTGTATGTGTGTAAGTAAAGACATAGAATATGGTAGCATAACTTACTGGAAGGGGTAATAGCCCAGACTTGTGCCCTTCTATTACAAAATCTCGTATTCGGTCTTCACAATTGCTATGAGTGTGAATCAAAAGACATTAATCAGAAGCAAAACAGAAATCTTGCATTATGATATGTTTGGTTGGTTGTAGTTGGAGTCACATGCAGCCATTTGGTCATTCATAACGGAAGACATACTTCCAAAACCACAAGTTTGGTCCAAAATGCTTAGTTGAACTGCACTCTTTGAAATGCAGCATTAGCTACCTAGGTTGGACACATTAGAGAGAGGACATATCAGCCCTTTTTAAGCTGGAGCAGCAATTGCAAAGCAACCAAACACAGGAGATTCATAAAATGCAGTTAGAACTGCAATCCTATTAAATACTGCCATGCAGCTCCAACAACCATAATTGAAACTACATGCAGTCGGAAATAATGCAAATCCAACTGCAAGAAACCTAACGCTCCTCCTAGATGTGAACAGCTTACCTTAAATTACCAATAGGCTCCCATGTATCATCGCTTGGAGCATAGCCCTTCCAGCGGACCTGGACAACAGTGACGATCATGATAACATTCAGAAGAAGCATAGAAAATAAGGGGGAGGGAGACACAGCGGTAGATACAATGTGGTTTTGCCAGGATTTTCAGGTTCAAGTAGATTATTTAACCAAGACCCACTTTGGCTGCTATGCTTATAACAAATAATAAGGACATATGATTATTTTACTTTAGTTGTAAGTATTAAATATAAGCTTCTGAGCATATTATTATCTAGCATATCAACCTGTATGAACAGGATATAAGCAGAAATTGTTCTCATCTTGTGTGCGGCATGTTTGGAAAGTGGTAATCCATTTGCTTGGTAGAGTAATCCAAGAAGGGAAAGGCCCTGTACATTTTCCCCACCTATGCTTCTGTAAAAATATGACATGACAACTTAGCAGGCTATTCTCTCTCGTGGTTCATATATTTCAGACCACCAAATACCGCAGGCTAGTTACTATGGGTTTCAGGGCAAGAATTTACTTAGAAAAGTAGATAACATCGCAAGAACAATTTTCAGTTAAGACTAGGATCAACAAAGCATTTGACTAAGGTTCTTGACAAAAATAAATATGGAAATTTCAAAAGGATCTGTTACAAATAAATTGGTGTCGTAGAAATTGGCTGCCAAGATGCTTGGAACCTTTTGAGACATGAAACAGGTCACTAAGTAAGACACTAAAGCTGTTGTTTAAATAAAGAATGAGAACTTGTAGGGTCTTGTATAGGATTAAGAAATTATATATTAGAGAAAAAGAAAATAAAGTTGTTGAAATGTTTTTCCCCTTCCTCCTAGGCTTCTCCTTTGACAAAATCCCCACTCCCTTTAGATGCAGGGTTGCAAAACAATATCTCAAATCCATAGAACATACATTTATAAAAGAGTTACCTCTACGTTCAGTAAATGTGTCGCTAAAATTATTCATATTACCTCTACGTACCCCCCCCCCAAAAAAAAAAAACCCAATCCCAAATAAAAAAAATCCGAAAATAAAAACAACCTCAAAAGAAATGAAAAAACCCCTACTGACCGCAATCAACAACAATCCTGTCATCAGCTCGCATCAAACTATACAACACAATCACATAATCTTTTACTTAAACCTATGGTCTTAACTGCACATTCAGAGAGTTTTTTATTGCTTTGCAGAGATGGCACGAGGACATTCTCTATGCATTAGAAGTTTGCAATCAAATGTTGTAGTAATGAAGGCAAATAAACAAAGCATGAAGCCCCTTCCCAAGAAGGGCCATCTGCACACTTTCGAATGTATGCTCACCAGTTATTTCCATCTAACTTCGATTTATTATTAACTCCTTTGTATACAAAGGGGGAGAAGACTAATATCATATTTAGCAAACTGCAAGAGCCAAAGAGTCAAGTAACATACGATGAAACCATACAAAAATATATGCTAGGTAAACTTTTTTCCTTTGGATATAAAATGAAGCAAAAGCTCTGTCCTTATAGAACATATCTTATGGATGGATAAATAAGCATTACCTTAAACTTCAATCCGTGTTCACCAGATTTAGCAGGATCGCCATAGAAGATATCTACAAGTCTTAAGACCTCAAATTCATCAGATGAGATCTCGGAGTCATCATGAGCTTGCACATTAGATGCATCCACATTTGAGGCCTTTGAATCAGATTTGCCATTTTTATAACCACCAACTATATATTCTTTGTAAAGTATGTTCCATTCCTTTAATAACTCATAAAATTCTACAGCTGATTCAGTTCTGACCTATAAAAGAGACCAGAACAGTTCAAGACTTCAACGTGCATAACTCATTAACTGTAACCACAGGAAAAAAGAATATAAAGCTTACTTCTGTTCCTGGGTGATTTCGTTTAAGGCTCTCACATGCAGCTTCATCTAAGTCAACACCCCATCTCTGCCATAACACAACCATAAAAGCAAATGATACCCTAAAAACTAATTGATGATTACGGTTGAAAAAAGGGATATAGGTCCAAGATACATGCCGTGACAAGCTTTGCACCAGCAATCTGAGCTCCCAAGGACTCAAGCAAAGCCTGATCGATATTCCTCCACAACCATAATATAAATCTAACAGTGATAGCCTGTACTTTTATATTCGCATTTACTATAAACTTCCTTTCTATACATTTCAATCTTGGAGACATTCACATGATCAGTTCCTGTGCAACTGGAAGAAGACAAATCACCCTTCTCTACTGAATTACCTGAAATTGATAAAGAAAGCATGTAACTTTGAGGCGCTTATGCATGTACAGGAGAAAACATAAGCAGATAGAAACTATAGGGTGATAGCTGGCAACTTAATATGACAGGAACATAAAGAAACTTCCTCAATTCACTGGTCTATAATCCAAGATCTAGACTAGAGGTGAAACTGGGTAGCTGATTCACTGGCCAAAAATGAAAGAATTTCATATTATGATGATAACTCCATGAGTTTATTATAATGGTATATTGTAGTTATAATTGTCTTACAAGAAATACTCATTAAGGCTATTACATCTCAATATATCAAGTTTGTAACGAAGCAAGGCTTCAACAGACTGACGAATGTGAGATATCCAGATGTAGATAACTTACAATCCTTTGGGGGGGAAAAGAACTCTATAGTTTGACTACTAGCTTCAAAGAGTTTCTGATCATCTTTGGTTATTTCCAAACACCACATAGTCACAGAAGCTAATCTGATAATGTCCTTTGCAATTTAAAGAAATATTGTACAAGTAAAAACCTATGTTTAAAAAAGAGAGATATTCCAAAATAAATTTGGAAATATACCAAGCTGCGAAGAGGCTCTACCACTGTACTATAACAACACTTTCGAGTACAATTTGATTGCCATGAGAAGAAATAAAGAATAGAACATGTACCTGTACAATCCGCATAAATGTACAGGTCGTTGGGGGGGGGCGGGGGGGCTGGGAACAGAGCCGACGAGGCTAGAGGGAGGGGCAGAAGAGAGAGAGGGCGGCGGGGAGAGGAGAGGGAGAGGGAGAGGGAGGGAAGAGGCGGCGGATGCGGGGAGAGGAGAGGAGAGAGGCGGCAGGAAGCAGGCGAGAGGGAGAGGAGAGGAGAGGAGAGAGAGGGCATGGCGCGCAGGAGCGGGCGTGGAGGGGGCGGCGGGTTCTTTTGGGGAGGGCGTGGAAATCGCGATAGAGATGCGGGAGAGATGGCGGCGGGTGTGGTGGGTGTGTGGGGGGGGGGCGCGTCGGTGTGTGGTTAGGGTTTATAAATTTTAACGTGGGAGAAGGATAAAAATAAAATGTAGGGTAGTTGTAGGGAATTGGAGTTTGTTTTTTTCTCCATGTTATACATTTGATGAAATTTTAAATTATTTTTACTTTTGGGGTATTGGAATGATTTGAATCTCTAACTTACAAGAGGGCACACCAAAATTTAGGACCAAAAGGGTGATATTTCTTCATTAATAGTAATAGGTTAACTTTTTAGTCCTATTGTAATTAGAAGTATCATCAATGAAGGTAATGAACTCCTTCGTCTTTAAGGAGACCCAATAACGACGGTATTAGGAACAAATCAATGAAGGGACTAGAAAACCGTTATCCCATCTCACACCATTCCTCTAATATTTGTAATCACTCGACGAAGGCTTTAAAACCCGTCGTTAATATATGCACATTAATGACGGTCAACTGGTCCCTTCACTAATTTTGGTCGTTAAATATCAGATTTCTTGTAGTGGAAGAACTAATTTCCCTCCATAGGACAAGGAGTTCCTCTTCCAAGATGCAAGTTTTCTATGGAGATTATCAAAAATAGGTTGCCCTCCATAGGACAAGGAGTTCCTCTTCCAAGATGCAAGTTTTCTATGGAGATTATCAAAAATAGGTTGCCAATCAGATTTGGTCAGCTTACCATATTTGAGAGGCATACCCAGATATTTAATAGGAAGAGAGGCCACTTTGCATCCAAGAGAATTTGAGAGAATAAGATTTTTCATAGGATTTTTACCAAAATAGACAATGGAAGATTTAGAATAGTTGATGGCCAGACCTGAGACTTCCTCAAAAAAATAAAGTATAGTTTTCAAAACTGAAATGTCTTTGGAGGAGCTTTTTACGAAGAGAATAGTATCATCTGCAAATTGTAGAATTCTCAAATGGTTGAGAGGTAACTTTATACCAAGATTATTCAGTAAACCCTCATCAACATTGTTATGAATCATCTTGTTTAATACATCCACTGCTATATTGAAAAGCATTGGAGATAAAGGATCTCCTTGCTTTAGACCCCTCTTACAAGAAAAGAACTTTGAAGGATGGCCATTAATTTTGACAGCACACTGAGATGATGAGATGATATGATATATCCATGTGCACCACTTACTACCAAAACCTCTAGCTTTGAGTAAACTAAGAAGAAAATTCCAGTTGATGGAGTCAAATGCCTTTGTGAAATCAAGCTTTAGCATAGCAACTTCCTTCTTCCTTTTTGAACAGTAATGAATCATCTCATTTGCCATCACAATAGAATCAAGTGTTGATTTACC